TGAGCTCCTCACCCTATCTCTAAGGGAGCGCCCAGCCACTCTGCGGAGGAAGCTCATTTCGACCACTTGTATCCGCGATCTCGTTCTTTCGGTCATTGCCCAAAGCTCATGACCATAGGTGAGGGAGGGAACGAAGATTGACCGGTAAATCGAGAGCTTTGCCTTTCGGCTCAGCTCCCTCTTGACCATAACGGTCCGATACAGCGACCGCATCACTGCGCACGCTGCACCGATCCGCCAGTCAATCTCACGCTCCATCCTTCCCTCACTCGTGAACAAGACCCCGAGATACTTGAACTCCTCCACTTGAGGAAGGACCTCTCCACCCACCTGCAGAGGGCAAGGCACCTTTTTCCGGTCGAGCACCATGGCCTCGGATTTGGAGGTGCTGATTCTCATCCCAGCCGCTTCACACTCGGCTGCAAACCGTCCCAGTGCATGCTGCAGGTCCTGGTTCTTTGGAGCCAACAGGACAACATCGTCCGCAAACAGCAGAGATGAAATCCTGTGGTCTCCGAACCGGACCCCCTCCGACCCCTGGCTGCGCCTAGATATTCTGTCCATAAATACAGTGAACAGAACCGGTGACAAAGGGCAGCCCTGTCGGAGGCCAACATTCAGAGCTGGCTCTTGGGAATGCAGGTTGTTTCGATGCAAAAAATGAAGGGGTTGAGAAACAGATCATCTAATAACAAGAAGTGAGTTGAAAAGCATCAGAACACAAATTGCGTTCAAAAGCTGCATTAAATGCCATCTTGTATTCTGTTACCTGTCAACTACAGGGAGTGGCTGTTAGCGCCTACACCAGTTACCATGACATCCCTCGTCAGAAGTTTTGCCTTTGTAAACATTTTCAGAAAGACATTTTCAGCTTTTAGCTGTAGAAATCCTAAACATTGCCCCCCATGAACGCTTACACTTTATATTTATCTTTATACATATCCAGGTTTATAGGCAAACATCTTAAGTATGATTGTGTCCATTCTTTTCAGAAGCAGGTTTTGCAGTTCTTCACCGTCTGCGGCACAGGGGACAGGAGCTGCTGATGTAGCTGCTTTCACACCACTCCATACATGACCAAGCAGACCCAATTTATTTCCTCTTTGCTGCTATAACAGAACATTTTTTATAGCTTTAAATTTAACGCAACACTGGATACCACAAGATCTACACAGTCGACTGTTTTTGACTGTAAATGCTGTTTCTATAGCTTATTGTTCAGTTTCACACTCTCATTAAATTGATATACTCCCAGGTTGAAAGCGCGAGAAGGAATACGAGCTGAAAATAGAGTACGGATTTGACTCAAGTAAAAAGTATTTGGGAAAACGTCTGCTATAGAATTTTATGTTTTTAAGAGTAATTATTAACGAATGGAGAAGCCAGAAAATTCTAACTATTGCATTCCAGCACAAGGCCAGGGTAACTTACTTTGGGATCCAATTCCACATCAACTGTCATGCAAACAGTGCATTTCCTAGTTAGATCCAGGGAAAGCAATTTGACTGTCAGAGATGTTATTACATTATATTGCTGTACTTTTGCTCAACTAAATCAAGTGTAAGTTGCATTTGAGTGTAAGTGAAACAAAACAATTATTTGGATTACATTTATCTGTCCAGTCTACTGCGGTTTATGTTGTATTTTTAGTTCTCTTTTCCTTTTTTTTTATATGGCGACAGATGCCACAAGGACAGTGTTCGTGTCCCTAATTGTGCACGCCTGCTGTGCCTTCTGCTTTTTTAGGGGAAAAACTAAATTAAGTGGATGAATTAAAGCAAGGACAATTCAAATGTGAAGGCCCAGGGAATAATTAAATAATGACAAGGTATTTTGACAATGATGGGGCCAGTTATGACTACTCTTCATTGAACTGGATAGTGATTGGCTGATAATTACAAAAAAGTGTTCATTACTTCAAGCTATCAAACATAATGACTTGTTGCATCACGCACAAAGCAGTTTTGTGCCTTGAAAACTAAAGTTTTGCTGATAAACTACACATTACTAAACTACGCTGACAAACAACATTATTGGACAAAAACAAAACAAAATCAACTCCTCCCTCTGGTGGTAGCAGAAGGGAGTTAAGGAAAACATTTTTTTTACCTTTTATACTGGTTACACAATATTTTCAACTTAAGATATTGTTTCAAATTCTAAAACACTATAAAGTAAAAAAGTCTCATTGCTGTCTTTAATGGCCAAAAATAATGCATACAATTAATTTTATTATCTGAGAAATTTGACCAAGAAACACTGCCATCATTTTAACATGCAATTCAATTAATTTGTTATAGCCCTATACACAACCTTTAATGCAGTCTTCATGGAGGACTTTACAAAGTTGTCAATTTGCAATTAATAAATCAGAAAATCAAATCATTGGAACATTGGAAAAAAATTAAGCCATTGGTCCATAGGGAGCAGGATGACCAATGTCCAAAAAGGCCCCAGATCATCATTGTCATTAGACCCTCCTGCATCGGCAAGGAACAGAGATCTACTCCTGTGGACGGACAAGACTAAGGCAGTAGATCCAGGACTAAGGCAGTAGATTCAGGTCTGAGGCTGTAGATCCAGGACTGAGGCTGAAGATCCAGGACTGAGGCTGTAGATCCAGGACTGAGGCTTGAAATCCAGGACTGCGGCTGTAGATCCAGGACTGAAGCTGTAGATCCAGGACTGAGGCTGTAGATCCAGGTCTGTTCTTGTTTTAAAAGGTCGTCAAAATGTGCTCAAAACAAAATACTTTTTCCCAAAATTGAGGGATTTTTGCAGTGTTCGTTGATTTTTTTACTGCACCTATATTAATCAATTTCTGGGATTGGGGCGTGGCAATCAGAGCTGCCACCCGCTGCTCATAGCACCAATCCCTCATAGATCTTACGGCAGGTAGTGAGTCAGAAAGATAGTTGCTTCTCCGTCATCAATGACACAACCTTTGCCTTTCAGCGGGGGCTTTGGTCAAGGTGGGGTTAAGTGTCTTCCCCGAGGACACAACGGCAGCAGACATCAGTGGAAGCAGTTGGAGAAGGGGGGACCAAACCCACGACCTCCAGGCCTTTTTACAGTGTATAATCTAAAATATCACAAGTTGAAGTGGAGGCTCAATATTTTAACTGGCCCACTAAGGATAATACGCTGGTTGAGGCGGCAACAGTATGGAAAGATTCTGGTCAGAGAATCAGGGTCCAGAGGAGGGATATTTCTCAGTCGTTGTCTATTTACTAGGGCTGTCAAACGATTAATTTTTTTTAGTTGATTAATCGCATAGTAATGATGAGTTAACTCACGATTAATCGCATTTTTAACATTCTATTTCAAATCCACTCCAATTGAAGTTAAATGATATTTTCAAATGTAATGACACATTGTTATTCATACCAAATGTACTTAAATCTGTTTGACTTGCTCACAACCTTCTACTTTTGGCTACAACCAACAAGAGCTGTTAATGAAAGGAAAAATGTAGGTACCCCAGCTTTACTTTTGCGAGTTTGGTTGCATTTCAGCGTGTCTCCTCCTCTCCTCCGTCATCAGAGAACATCAGAGAATGGCCCCTGTGCGTGTGTATATATGCGTGTATTATATGACCACGTTACCGCTGTCACCATCACACACACGCACGTGTCCGTGGCATTCTGAGTGATATTATTATAAATGGGCGGGTCATTCGGACATGCGATTGACTGCCAGCCTATTTCAGAACAGGTACCCACAGAATATTGTGTACAATGACTATCTGAAATCCAAAACCAGATTCTGAAAGAATGAACTGTGTACTTTCATCAGCAAAAATAGTTTTGTTTCTAGCTTGTTTTGTTCCCCTGTAATCCCCAGTCGAGTAGAGATAAGTTTTATTGAAATCACCAGAAAGCTGAGAAAAAAGAGGCACTTGTGCATCTAGCTGTTTTCAAACCATTCATACAGCAATGCTGCCATCTGCTGGCTCGATAAAATATTGCCTCAAGCCTTACATATTTGATACAACAGACATCTGGGAACGTGAAAATAGCGGGAAACGCAATTGACGTGTTAACACGTCAATGGCAGTTAATAATTATTTTTTAATAATTAACGTGAATTAACGCGATAATTTTGACAGCCCTACTATTTACACGTTGACTGTGTGTATGTGTGTGGTCTGCAACAAAGAACAGACACACATTTAATGAATAACTGTACAAACTATTCACTGTACATACAAGACTTATATTATAATCACACAACAGCTATTGATTGACGCTGTTATGCAATAATAGCAACATTACAGCACTTATTTGGATGCTCCCAAAAGTTACAGACGTGCCCTTTAATTTGGCACAAGACAAAGCAGCAGGCAGTCAAATACACAATAGATGTAAAATAGCAATATACTAACAAAATAATTAACTGTAAACAATGAATTATCAGGCAAATTAACATTAGAACTTAACATTAGTATGTGTACGTCACATCACCAATGATAAATGAGACAGAAGAAAACACGGCTATAACAGGCACTCATACCAAAAAACACACATTCTTTCTGGTCATTCACGCACACTGACACACAGCGAACAACATCGATGAGTCCTTAATGGTCGGAAAAAGTCTCTGCAGCGCATAGCATAAGCGAAAGTGACACTAACATGCAAAAACCAAACCTAACACTAGGGGCGCACTTCTCGGCCTGGCTATCCTACACAATTACTGTGCATTTACAGGATGGATAAATCTCCAACAGAAACCAAACCTAAGCCTTTTCCTCACTGGACGAAACACTACGGCCCATTCTCTGGTCCTCTATCCGCAGAGCCGTCACTTCACACGCTTTCACGCCTGACGGACAGACGCAGAGATGGATTGTCCGTTGGTTTAAAAAGCGCAAGAACGAGGCAAAAAAAAAAGCAGATAAAAGCTCAAAGAATCCATCAGGGTCATGGAGACGGGCTGTAGAGAGACCGGGAAGATCAGACAGAGGCTGGAGCTGGGAGGAGAGCAGGGTTATCTGTCATTTAGTGTGTGACGAGCTGTGATAGTGGCTCTCGGCTCTCCTGTGTGCTTGTAATGGCCGCTTGGCTGCTCGGTTTGCTCGGCCTGTCCGCTGTACTGTGGAGCTCTAATGGGAGACGTCGGATCATGTCGAGGGCCTGCTCCACGGTGACCCCGGGAGGGCGAGGCGCAGCTGGTGAACGGGCTGTCAGTGGGAGGTGTAGGTGTCATAGTTTGAAGGTTTTTTTTTGCTGACAATAATTGAGAGAAAAACAAAGAACCAAGCCTGAGTTTGCGTATATAATTTAAAACCAAGCCTTATTTTGTGTATTTATTTTTACATGGCCAACAGGCCAAATTTTTCTGTATCTATTCCTAAACCAAGCCTAATTTTGTATATATATTTCTAAACCAAGCCAATCTACATTAAATCCACGCCTAAATTTGGGTCGCCATTTTTTTGTGTATTTTTTTTCAAACCAAGCCTAATTTTGTGGAGCTATTTTTAAACCAAAAAATGACCTGCAGTTGCTTTTAGATCCATCCAAGCTGATAACAGGAACTGGCATAACATGTATTTCTGTCTAAAAGCTTCTGTCTCACCCATGTAACACTATGATGTCATTGTACCACTAAAGGAAAGAATAACACATTCTATCTGCTTGTGTTTTTCTCAAATAATTTACAAAACAACTTGTAACTAAAACCACAATAAAAACTGCTACCACCATCTAAAATACTACTACTACAACAACCACTACCACTAATACTACTACATCTGTAAATACTACCATCACCCCATATACTACTACTATTTCAATACTACTACTTCCATCCCAATTACTACTACTGCCACCCTAAATACTATTACTACTTAAAATCAGGGTTAGGTGATTTTATAAGATCACAGCCTCACAACCTCTGGTGACCGGAGGGCCTGCATAAGCACAGTTGTTAGATATCTGGAACACCCACATAATGTGCCGTAAGCAATGACATGAATCAGAGAAATGTAATGAAACAATTACTCAACTTGTGGTTTGTAGAGGAAGGTCTTTATATGCATATATTATGGACAGGAGTTCAAATTGAAGCGGCACATGCGTCCGTTCAATCCGAGTCTCTCTCTAATATTTACAAATGCAGCTTTGGTCGGCCGGGAGGAGTTAAGAAATGGTCTCCGTAATTTCCATTTTTGGATACACAGTTCAACTTGCTTTGACTTGTCCAGTTGGATGATGTATGTTGTCTTTCACGGTCTGTCTCCATGCTTCTGTGTCAGCATTGCGATCCGATATTTTGTGAATACCTCTGGGTCTGTATTTGGTTTCCTGACCCAGATGTGAACCAATATGTTCAGGAAAAAACATACTTACACTACTACTACTACTAATACCCCAAATACTACTACTACTACTACTACCACCCCAAGTACTACTACTAGTAATGCCCCAAAGACTACCACCTGGAAAATGAACAGAAATAAAGCATTTGTTCTTTAAATAGGACAACGCCATCTATCGGATCCCCTTGCTGAAGTCTCTGCACTAATGTCCTGACCCTCCTGGACCTTCCCAGCATCCTGACCCTTCTGGACCTTTCCGTTCCCGGTATCTCTTCCCCAGCCGTTGGCCTCTGCCTCACCCCTTTCACACTTCCACATATGGTTTTACCCACAATCCCCCGGTGCCTTATCGGTGATTTCCTGGCTGATTGGCAGATAAGTGTCATCTCGAGAGCCTCCACAAGCCGCTGCCTTCTCATTTCCGCTGCTCAATGGCTTCCCCCTGTCTATTTGCACTGACGGTGATCATAGTGCCGCCGCCGCACACACGGGAGGCTTATCTTTGCCCATGGATACGCGGCAGAACAATGCTAGTTGGTTTTGAAGAGATTTGTCAATGTAACTCTGGAAGATAATATTTGGGTCCAAAATGGGAAAGTGGGAAAGTTGCATAAGAAAATGGACATATGTTCCTTGTTTAGACCGGTGCCTTTTGATTTCATCTAAAACTAAAAATGATTCTTCCCTGATATACATTTAAAACATTGTTTAATTCTATTCTTACTTCTAACAACCACATTATTCATTTCTATGACAAAAACATTCTACTCAAATAATTAATAGAAATCCACCAGAAAACAAAACATTATAAGAGTAGTATATTTCTATACGGTGGTCTCTCACCATAACACAGTTTCACCGTTAGTGGCCTTGCTGTTTTGCGAAATTTGTTGTGCTAGAACAACGTGACAGTTACCTTTATCTAAGGTCAGAAGAACACTTTTGAGGCTTGTGTGATTGGTTCAGATTTTGAAAGACTAGGTTATTTTGTACTTGCTACCACTACTTATTTTGTATATTTTGTGTGTTCGTATTACTGTCCTCTATGTGCACTGCAACATTGACATTTTCCCACTGAGTGACGATTATAGGATCTCTTATTTTATATTTTCTTATCTTGACAGCCGCAGCAGTGCTTGGACCTACAACCAACAGTTTTATGGTGCTTTCACACCGGAGCATCGACTTTCAATGCAAAGTCAATAGTGACGCTCGTTCGAGCGTCGAACTGCATGTGCGTCTTGGGATGCACGCACGGACTGCCCGGCAAAGGCGCGGCAGAAGCACAGGAGCGGAAAATTGACGCATGCAGGAGATTAATATTGTTGAGGGTTTCCTCGGGACGCTCGCGCAGCGACCAATCAGAGAGCCGCAAAGTGGTCACAAGTACATTAGTGGTCTGAGCGAGCAGACTGAACATACTCGTGCCAAAACAGGAGCTACACCAGGACTAAAACCAGGGTTGACAATGGGGGACATAGTGCTTGTGAACATATGCATTTTCATGCTCCCGTGACTTTGTGCAACTGCTTCGAGCGTGTTCGCAGATGTGAAAGTACCGTTTAATAATAAAATAAGTGTATGGCGCACATCCATGAACACATACTGCCGTTATATAAAGTCTTTGGAAGGTCTCTGGACACAGAGACGCTGCAGAGCTGCATTATTGGAGAAGAACTTTACACAAAAAGCCGCTACTTCCGCCACTTCTGGCGGGCACCACCGCTGGCCAGGACTTCAATCAATCAATCAATCAAATTTTATTTATGAAGCGCTTTTCATACAAAAGATGCAACACAAAGTGTGAAGACCCCTGCGACTGAAAATTAGAGAATGTGCCTCTGGTGCGCGAGGCGTCAGCGTTCCTGCGTCGGCGGTGTGAAAGCACCATTAATCTCCATGTATCTCCATGATCGTGCTTCAGCAGTCGTGAGTTCAGGTGGTTAGAAAAGTGTATACAGTTTGAGAAGAGGGGTTTTACAGCCTTAGAACATACAGCTGCTACGTCCATGGGCAGTACCCTTGAGTGAGGCCAAATTCTTGCATATAAGGCACCTGAACGGTTATTGTTGGCGATATCTTATTTGACAAAGACAATATCAGTATACAAACAACATTCAAAGCACTAGCTAAAGATCAGAAGTAGGGCTGGGATAAACGATTATTTTTTAAACGATTAATCTAGCGATTATTTTTTTGATGCATCGATTAATCTAACGATTATTTTTTTTCGCTTCGATTCAATTTTGATTCGATTCTCGATTATCTCCCCATTAATTTACTAATATTGATGTATACATGTTGATTTAAATATTTTAATTAAAAAAACATGAATTCCTTCACAAAAAATATTTATTGCTTGCTCTTAAAATTCAAAAATAAGACATTCTTAGAGGTAGCATAAAACCTTAAAGCCTTGAAAACACAGCTTACTGAAAAAAGTGCATCTTATCATTCTTGAAACAAACATTTGATGCTTTACAGCAAGAATACAGTAACTATTGTAAACTTGGGGGCTTTTAGCTAATATAGAAAGTGCTTTTCCAACAAAAATAAATAACAAAAGTAAACATTTAGAATTCAACATTTATGTGGAACATCATCCTTCAAAAAATGAACTACAACTTAGACCTGGTCACTTTCCTTTCCCCTTTAGAATAGTCTGTCATTGAGGGAAAAAATACAGTCAAAAATTGAAATGGAGGAATGTGAGCATTTCGACTTGCTCTGGAGTCAGGCTTGCCCTTTTTTTAGAAACAATGGGCCTCATTCACGAATAACTTCGTAAGAAACTACTCAACTTTCTTCTCAAGTTGTCCTTAAGTAGATTTCTAAGAAGTCCCCACGTGGGATTCATCAACGCGCTCGTAAGCCGCTGAATTGTTCGCAGCTGTTCTCTCAGATTGATGAATCCCATTTCCTCGTAAGTACAGCGCGCGTGCCAGGTGCTTCATTAGCATAGGTACTTAGCATAAGTAACCGCCCACTAATGCCCATATAAGGGACTGCAGGGCCGTGTGCAGACGGCTGAGGAAACAGCAACAGGCCTTTACACGGAGCAAAAGAGTCACCCAGACTGAGAATAAAGTTATAAAATGTTGACTTAAAAGTCGAAATATTATGATAATAAAGTCGAACTAGCAAAACTATGAGATTAATCTAAGAATATGATGAGATTAATCTCAAAATGTTATGAGCTTAATTTAAAAATATATTATGTATTATTTTAAAGGCACACCGCGGACTTTGTGACCTAAAGAGTTGACACATAAGAGTTATTTTATATGAATACTTGGGCCAATATACAGCGCTTGACACTTGCAATGCTCCGAGCGGGGCTGCCCTCTTGAAATACCGACCATGTAACTTCAGAGCAAACGGACCGTCTCCCACCAGGTCACGTGACTTGGGAGAACGATTTGCTTTACGGCAACAGGCGCTGATATACTCGTGGAGCTAAAGCTTTTGCTACTCATTTTCCACCTGCTCGACTCCTGGTCATGGCTGAGGCAAGGAAAAAGTTTAAACCTTCGGAGGACGCTAAAAAGAGGAAACGTGAAAGGGATCGTGCTCGAGGAAAAACAAGGGTCGATCTGGGAATGGAGTTTGCTCGTTGGCGCAGGTTGAAAGAAGAAGCTGGATGTAAATCTGATTCTGTTTTTTCAACTTCGTTGTTAGACTGGTAAGTGAAGTCTTTGCTCCTAGTATACAGTAAAATGTCTTTGTCATTATTTTCGCTGTTTAGTAGAAGCAAAATACGGGCAGACGAAGCTAACAGGCTACAAACCAAAGCTAACGTGTGTAGCGCTACGTGTGTAAATCTCAGACATTTCGCATATGTAACAGATTCCTACTTTCATAAAACTAACTTGGTTGTGGTAATTCTATACCCCCATGATACTGCTTTGCTGATTCTATTTGCACGTAATTATACTGTGGATGTGTTTGCCTAACTAGGGCTAACAAGCTAACAGGCTGCTATTAGCCCATCTACCGATTCAATTAAATACCAACACTTTTAATTTATAGGCATACTGTATTATTGCACCGGTTTGTTATGGCCCATTTTGCCTGTGCTGTTGGCATTGCTTTCATACAAGGACTTGTATTTTTGTTTAGTTACGAACGGAGAGGTGTAGCAACATCCACACCATACAAAGGAGAGGGCACAGCAAAACCTCCTGGACCACCAGTATCGAGTCTTTCAGACTCTTCGGATCATGACAGGTTTGCACTATGTTTTAGCTGTAGACAGTTTGTGGTACAAATCAAAATATTCATTCAAAGAGGTATAATTATAAGACACTGATGACAATGCTATTGATAAAAATAATTATGCTTTGCACCTGCACAAGCAGATTGTACATAAACTAATAGAACTATAAAGACAAACCAGAGCTTCAGTGATATTATAGCTCAACATTCTTTTCTACTTGTGTAGGGGTAAAGAAATGGTCCTTTCAGGTGTAGAGGAGTTGATCACAGCAAGTGAAAAAGTTGACGTGCTTGAATCAAGGTGAGTCCATTACATAATAATCAATCATTTTGTGAGAAGAATATACTCATGTTTGTTTATTTTTTATTATTTTTTGCAGTATGCACTCGTTGGCAATTTCTGAAAAACATGATGACGACCTAGAGGCTGCTAATGATTTGCAGAATAGTATGTAAGTGCTTTACATTGTGTGCAAATTACCCTTTTCCTTTTTGTATGTATAAAGCGTGCATTTCAAGACCAATATGTATTTTTCTGTGTAGGATTGAGATGGAGGAAGCTGTTTGCTGGGAAGATGACGACTCTGATGAGGATTATGTTCCTTTCCTCTATCTACGGTATGTGCTGTTCATAAATTACTTATCGTAATTTTCCACTTGTCACAAAATATATAAAGCTGTTTAATGACACTGACTCCTCAATGTTATTGTAACAGATCTACTGGAGCTTCAAGGGCAGAAATTGACAAGCTTCCTGAAATACACATAGATGAGGCTGTGCTGGATGTAGAGGAGGTGCCCATAGTTCCTGAAGAAGATCAACACATTCCTGTAAGACACAAGGTTGAGACTGTAGAGGACCTCGTAGGAAAGGAAGCGAGCATCTGCTACAATGACAACTTGCTCTCTCTTGCAAGGTATATTAATCTCTAAGACCTATAGCTACTATCTTATGCCAGCCTCTCATTTCCTGTTTTACTTTTCAAAGGTACATGCAGTTGCCTGTACAGTTGTGTCAGTTCCGAGATCCTATTTTGGGGACACTATGCAATGGAAGGCCTCCTTTTCATGTGCAATTAAAGCCCAGAGGGACTGGTGTCATTCTTGAATGGGTAAGTGTAAATGCAAGCACCACCATTGTTTAGAGAACGACTTTCGGGGGAGCCTGGAAAAAGGTGTCACCTGATGTGGGGGTGTTGGTAAAGGTTGTGAGAGAATGTATTGATTTGCTAATTGCTTTGTTCGTCTTTACTTAGGTTTGCCTTCACGGACACACTATTTGGCATTGGAATTCTCAGCCACTCCTAAAATTTGGAATGCAAGGAGGCGATTTCATGCTGTCAACAAACATTCTTCTCTCTGGAAACAACTACAAAAAAATCCATCTCCTTCAAATTTATGTGTATGGGAATGGTTGCAGAGACTACTTTTTTTGCCATACAGTCTGAATACTGCCTAAAGCCTGTAGAGGAGCATTGGAAAGAGAGTAGAGAGAAGGTGTTGAACAAGCTTCGACAAAAGACTGAAGTAGTTGTACTTGGTAAGTGTCATTTTCATGTTTGCTTGTCAATATGTGTCATTGTTGGGAAGCAGATTACATTGCTATATTTCAGTTGTATCTTTTCTCTTTTATCAGGTGATGGCAGAATGGACTCCCCTGGTATGTGATGCTATACAAAAATATTCCCATGTGGAAAAAAACTCTTGTTACTTACCAAATGTTTATTTGTAGGCCACTGTGCACAATTTTGTACATACACCATGATTGAGCACGAGACCCGTGACATTGTGCACATTGTGAGCGAGGACAAAAGGAGATTTGGCAGGAATTCGGTCATCTTGGAGAAAGTCTGTTTTGAAAGTACAATGGACTGCCTTCTCAACGAAATCCCTATAAAAGAAGTAGTGACGGATGCTCATGTACAAATATCTGCCTTGCTCGGTAAGTATATTTCACACTCAATCAAACTTCTCATCCAAAAATAATTTAACTTAGGAAATATATTATCTTCAGATCCAGTACGTGGAAAATACAAGGATTGGAGTTTAACCCATTCGCTGGATGTCTGGCATGCTTCCAAAAATCTTGGAAGGAAGCTACGCGAAGTAAGTCAAATTGCCACAATTACCACTGTTATTTGTTGAATGATTTAATCTCAAATAGGAAAAGACCTTTGGTACAAAGTCATTCTCATAAATGTATTTTGTTATCAGGCAGCAAAAGGCAAGGAACATTCTGTGTTGATGCATTGGGTAAAGGATATAGTGAACCATTTCTGGTATTGCTGTCAGCGTGCAAGTACTGTAGAGCAGTTTAAGGTACGCGAATAACAAGAGATACTCAAAGTGTGTGCCATTTTCAATTGTTATCTATCAATGCTTTTATTTTACAGATACTGTGGCATGGAGTACTACATCATGTACGCAATGAACACACATGGGCCACAGGGTTTTGTGAGCATGAGCCATTGGATGACAGCAGTCAAGATAAGCCGTGGATACAGCAAGGTAACATGGAGCATTTTGTTTCACTCATTTAGAACATTTTATTTTGTAAAACTTCATGTTGAAATACAGTAGCTGTATCATAACTTCCTTGTCTTGCAGGTTCTGCTGCTCATCAGACCCTGACTGCTATTGTTTTGAATAAACGCTGGCTTAAAAATGTGAAAAAGTACATAACATTCAGGTATGTTTGTGCAGTTTATCTATTTTTTTCTCTATCCTTTTGTTGCTTTGGATAATGTAAATGCCATAATGTAATGCTTTGGATAATGTTAATGGCATAGACCACCACTAATTTCAATCTAATTTTTACAGAACTACGTCAGATTTGGAGAGTTTTCAGAACCATATTCTGATGTATGCAGGGAAGCGCTTTGCCTATAAGTATAAAGTGTACAGAACCAGGGTTTTCCTTGCTGCAATAGATTACAACTACCACAATGGTCGAGAACATAGACGCAACAGAAAAGGAGAAAAAATGTATGTATTTTTACTGTACACAATTTTAAATTTATTGTTTGGAGGGTAATACTATGTGGTATTCTGTGTTTTACAGTTACAGACGGTACTACAATAAGAAGTCGAAAAACTGGAGTGTGCATGTTACAAAGGAGGCCAAGACGTATGCCTACATTCCCGACCTTCAGAAGGCAATTCTTAGGAGAAGATTAGAGAGTGGGTCAGGCCTTCCTCGAAGAAGAACCCTTTCAGAAGATGACCCTGAGCGCCTTGGACTGGTTGGCACAGCGGACACACCACCCCCCACTGCTGAACTTGTGGCAAGACACACTTCCCGGGGAGCAATGGCTCTACTAATGGAAGACTAGTACATTTTGTTTTGTAACTGTTTTTGTTCATTCTTTATTTGAATAAAATGTATGATAAGTTTTATGCTGTGCATAATATTTTCCCTAAATAACTAAAGTCTACTTACAAAAATGTAAACAATTGTAAAATCTTGTTGAACTACAAAAGAAATACAACACGTATTTTAATATGTACACATTTTTATTGATATTAATAAGTCATGGAAGCCGGCGCACTCTAAAACCTGTGTATTGTCCATTAGTGTCTGGATACTTGGTCCTAATGCGCCACACAACACAGCTTGGTATGACCACCCTATTGCCCTCCCCTAATCGCCCATGTTGCCAGAGCACAAAATTCCTGTAAGCTGCATGTCTGTATGAGCGCTGCTCTTCACCTGGTTCCTGGCTGTCATCGACTGCAAAGATGTCATTCCACGCAGCACGAGCTAGACGCAGAACTCCCTCATCCAGGATATAGAAGTCCATGTGTACATTTGTACTAATGCGGTCGTCTGGAGGCTGACTACAGCAGAGTCTCTCAATATCTGTAGGCATGTCTCTACAGTTTGAACACACACACCAGTGCATGCGCCCAGGTACAGGAGGTGATTGAGGAGTGTCCTGCAGTGCAAGGAGATCAAAAAGCAGTCCAGGCAATCTGTCTAGCACTAATTGGAGCAGGGCATCTCTTTGGTTTGCTTCAAGTGATTGTAGTCTGGCCTAAGATGCATAAAACACATTTGTCAACATAGTAGTCTATAAATTACAGTATAAATAATAAATTGATAAGTGTACACATACCTGCATATCAGCTCTCCTCCTCTGTTGAAGATCCTCGAGCCTTTCATAGTCAGCTGTAGATGGTCTGCTGCTGCTTCTTCTTCCTCCTCGTCCTCTCTCCATCCCGCTCCCCCCGCCTCTCCCTCGTTGTCCTCCGCTTCCACCGCGTCCACCTCGTCCTCCCCCGCGTCCACCTCGTCCTCCCCCGCGTCCACCTCATCCTCCCCCGCGTCCACCTCGTCCTCCGCCACGCGCCCACCTCGGCCCCCTCGTCCTCTCCATGTTTCGGGAGGGGATTCGGAAGATTCATCAGGCGGTGAAGAAATTGATGATGATGATGACTGAAAATAAAACAAACATCAGCATAAAAATTGATAATGTACTTACTGCGAAGTCGTGTAACAGTCGCAAAATACTGTCGTTATTTGAAAGCTTCGGTTTGTCCTTTTACACGTTCATGTATGTTTATTATTAGTGGATTATACGATTTTAGATAGAAATATGTATGCATTATTAGAGGCTTATTATGATTTTATATACAAATTCATAGTTTACTACAGGACAAACACAAAAAAAGACGACGTAAGTCCGATCTACAGATAAAATAAATCCAAAACAACACAATAAGAACTTGGTTTTAGGTATAAAACAGCTCTACGACTTACCTGATCAGACATGGTTTTCTGTTCACTTTTGTGCAATTTCTTTATTCAGCGGATGTCTTCTTTTCTTCAATCGTGAACACTCTTCAACCAACAGGTAGTGGACCTGTTGATGTCTGAATACACACTCAAGACACCGGCAAGACACTGTTTGTTGACTTTTGCGACAGTGCTGAGTTGCTTGTGGCCACTAGGGGCGCTAAACGTGAAAGTTGCAGGTCTAGCGCCCCTAGTGGCCAAGAGTTACACGGTGTGCCTTTAAAGATGAATCTCAAAATGTTTTGAGATTAATCTCAAAATATTTTGGACCCTGGGAGGAGATCCAGCGCGGACCAGCGCTGAGACCAATGCAGACCCGAGGAGAGACTGGAGTGACCAGCACACAGAAACCAGCGCGGACCTATAGGAGAGACCGCATAGACTGGAGTGACCTGACTGGAGAGACCGGTGCGCAGAGACCAGCGCGGACCGAAGAGAGACCGCATAGACCAGACTTGAGAGACCAGTGCAGACCCGTATAGATCCATGGGAGAGACCAGTGCAGACCCGTATAGATCCATGGGAGAGACCAGTGCAGACCCGTATAGATCCATGGGAGAGACCAGTGCAGACCCGTATAGATCCATGGGAGAGACCAGCGCAGAGACTCAGCGCGGACCCCGCAGCCTCCTGCAGCAGCAGTATATATGCCGTTGTTCTGTGGCCCGTGGATAAAGAAATGCCCCCTATAAATAGGAAGGGGTCACTAATACAAGGCAAGATTTCCAATGTATTTGATAAAGCGTTGGCACATTTCATTTCAAAATGAATTAAAAAGTAGGCCAGATCTGCAGTGAAAAAGGCGGTATATAAATAAAGATTACTAATAAAGATTACTACAAATAAATAAATACATACATCAATATGATGGACATATCACTGGAATGTTGTATTTTTATTCAACTTCACCAAAGAGGACAACCCCGGCGTGTGAACATGTCGGCACTGAATGCGTACGAGTGCTCCTGAGGACTCGTAGGATTTGTACTTGCCCAAGAGAAATTCTGGTTACGAGAAATATTCGTGAATGCCACTTTCTTCGTAAAAACCGCGTAAGTAGGATTTACGTACAAATCTGTTCCTAAGAACCGTTCGTGAATGAGGCCCAATGTTCCCAGCAACTGAGAAAAGCCTTTCAGATGGCGTGGATGTGGCTGGTATGGACAAATAGGATTTGGCTACTGCAGCTAGGGCAGGAAACCTTATGGCGTTACTCTTCCACCATAAAAGGGGGTTGCTATCCCTTGGGATAGGGTTTTCCCCAAAGTACATAAGCAGCTCTTTCCTGACTGTCTCACTGTCCCCGGCCCTGTCACCATTCTCCTGGTCCCTGTTTTCTTCATTGCAGTCTTCCCCCTCTGAATCTGTGCCCAACAAAGTGTCCAACAAAGAACACCTCTTCTTTGGTGGGGAGTTTGCTGAGGCTTCCTGCCCCACAGCTGGCTGTAACAATCTCTTCTTCCTTTCGATTTCAAGAGCAACAGTCTGGATTTGTACTTGTAGTTTGAGTCCATCATCCGCTGAAAGGAACTTCAATTTCCGAAAACGGGGATCAAGAGCAGCAGCAATGAGAGACACATTTGTCCCATCCTCTTGAAATACAAATACGTCCTCCTGCCACCTTGACATCATCCCCTCTTCTGCTTTGGTCTGGAAAAAGATCATGGCAGGAGAATCAAATGATTTATTTCGGCTGGATTTCAGGAGACCCTTCAGCAGGGGGGGGAGAACAGAGGCTGTGACATAAGATTGACCACTAAGGAAAACTGTGGCTTGCTCATAGGGCTTGAGCATCTCTTCCAATTCCTCCAGAAGAATCCATTGATCGCTTTTCAGATCAAGATAGTGCTTTCCACGCTGTGTGATTTCTGGATCTGATAGCGTCGCAACCACTGGCCATCGCTGCTCTAAAAGACGTTCAATCATATAGTATGTGCTATTCCAACGAACAGCTACATCCTGTATCAGTTTATGTTCAACTGTGCCCATCTGACTTTGTTTTAGCTTCAGTTTAGTGGTAGCCGGCTCACTTTTCTTGATGTGTTTTACAAGGCACCGAGTGCCTTGCTAATCACAGGGTGGTCCATTGCATGGTTGACTACCAGTTGTAGTGTATGCCCAGCACACCGATGGGATACGACCCCAAATCTCTCTTTCAAAATTCGGAGAGCTGCCACAATATTACGTGCATTGTCATGGACAACAGCAAGAACATTATCAAACGAAATGTCAATTTTTTCTGCCACAGTCTCTAGCCAGGAGGCAATGTTTTCCGCTGTGTGGCGTTCTTCAACAGGCATGGTTGTCAAATTGAATGAGACGAGATCCCAATTGTCATCAATAAAATGACAAGTAACTAACTAACTAACTAAGTAGGCTTCTGTGACCATACTTGTCCAGGCATCAGTGCTTAGGGAGATTTTGGACGTGGCCATTTGAAGTTTGAGTTTAAGTTTCTCCACTGAAGTTTTGTACTTGTTCTCAATAATAGTGGTGAAATGGCGCCTACAGGGCAGAGTGTAACCTGATTGAAAGGTGGCCAACATTTCTTTGAATCCCTCGCCCTCAACCACAGCAATCGGCCTCATGTCTTTAACAATCATTGCTACGACGCTCTCAGTAAGTATGGCAGCCTCCTGGGGAGTGCAGGGGGTTGCATTTTTCTTGCGAAAGTAATTTCCCACACTATTCTTCTTAACCCTGAAAACAAAACACACATACACACACACGTTATATAATTATAATAATACACTAACAAAGAAATACAATATATGATTTTATTATGTATCAACCTCAGCCTATTCCCATTGATTGAATATCACCAAGTAGGCAAATCAAATCTAATGTGTGTGTAACATAAACGTCACTTGTGCAATACAATATAATTTATTCTTGTGTAGTCCTAAATAACAACAGAAGTCATCTCAGAGGACTTAAAACAACATTGAAGTCACCAACACAGATCAGAGAATCAATCAACAGTTAAACACATTAAGGATATTGAACACATGTTGAAAAATGTCCATATACGGCGGGCATGACAGTGAATAATACATGTAGGGGCTATTACGGGCGCCAATATTCCGTTTGAAACCGTAATAGTCCTGGCATGTAACTGCTTAATACTGACCCATCGACAGCAATGAAGACATAACGTTACAACCGTTTGTTAACTTAGGTTGCCTAAACGTGTCATTTCGCATCGTGAATACATGAATTAATTACACAGAAAACATACACTGTACGTTAGGTAACTCTGCACTCGATGTCGGAGTAGGCTATAATACGTTGTAAAGTGGGGAGTTGAAAAAAAAATTATGGTGCTCTCGTCTCATCTGCTGCAGCAGCTCCCGGGTGGCGTCTCTTCAGATGCTGGTGCATTGCCGTAGTGCTGGAGTGAAAAGCCATCTCCATTTTGCATAAACGACAAACTACTGCGTTGTTCCCTTTCAAACTGAAGATTTCCCAAACTTTGGATGAACGAGCGCGTGCCGGCTTGCACTTCTCTAACACGGCACTCGCATTGCTACCGCTCGCCGCCATCTTTGTTTTGTGTGTGACGCACCGACGCGCATATTATACGTTGGTGTATTTTTTGCGTCGACGTCACCGATTACGTCGACGCGTTGTCCCAGCCCTAATCAGAAGGTGACAAATGCAACAAATAAAAATGTTCTGTAAAGTTGGAAATGGTGATGTGGCTTGTGTGTGTGCTTGGGATTTCTCCTAGATCGGAAGTGCTCTGGGGAGGTCAATAGCCTTTTGCTTTGGAGCTTGCATGGTCACCCTATTTAGGTTTCCTCCAAGCACTCCAGTTTCCCCCACCACCTAAAACATGCACCACTGATAAAATCCTACCAAAGTTCATGAAGCAAGTTTGGAAATCTGAACAAAAATCCCAGTATTAATGGCATGTAATGTAATAAAAGAGCAACATGACTGATTGTGCATACATTTCTTGTGTTTTGTTCTTGACAGTTTGTCCTGGCAGTATGAACTGATGACAAAAGATGAACAAAACATCCATGCTGTTAATGGTGCCCTCCGCTCTCAAAAGCCGAAGTGTTTCCGTACTTTGTTGTCAAAAGAAGGAATGCACAAGATGGAGCTTGGGCACTTGAGTGAAGAGCAAAGTACACACACAAATGGAGATGGGTAAAATACACAGGTACTCAACAGTGAAGAACATATAGTTGTTAAATTTTGTCTCTGTGAATATATGTAGAGACCATGTATGCTTTTAGGAAAACACTTTTTCTTTGTTACTCCCATGGGCATAATTTCTGTATGAAAGCTTGAAAATTACAGACAGATCAGTACATCACGTGCAGTGATGTAGACACTGTATCGGTTACTGTAGTGGTGAAAAGGGAGCCGCGTCTGCAGTAAAAGCTCTGGATTTAAGTAAGTATTGTTTTACTTTATCGGCCAATCTGCGTTTCGAGCCTCACCTACGGTCCTGAGTTTTGAGTAGTGATCGAAAGGATGAGATTGCGGCTAGTGGCTGGGCACACCCTTCAACTGGCTCCTCTCAATTTGGAGAAGGTGCTCTATTCCGAGCTCCTCCACATTGAGAGGAGCCAAGCCACCTCAGATGGAGGAGATCATGGGAAAACAGGACACACTGAGACTATGTCTCTCAGTTGGCCCGGGAATGCCTCAAGATTCCCCTGGATGAGCTGGAGGAAGTGTGTGATGGGAAGTTGACCAGGAAGTGAATAAAGCGGAAGAAAATGAAGGGAGCCTAGCATTAATACGTAAAAACATAGAATATTACTGTCCATGAACATAGTAATAATATAGAAATATTATGTCCTTCATATATGACAGGCAGCTGATGTAAGTCTGTAGTGCTCGTCTCCGTCTTTTATTTTTATATATTTATTTATTTGACAGGGACAAGGTAATCATACAAAGTTACAGCATGAAAGATGGTATAGCTAATACTAATTTTCAACTCCTGTCCCTGATTGAGCGTTTCCCTAAAGTTATACACATTATACAGAATGAATAAAATAGACAGCACTAAAACATATTTACAACTGTTGAATGTGTTGAACCTTTTACACTGCGGCTCTTTATTCATCAGAACAATTTACACTTGTGGTCTGAGCTTCTTGAGTCTCTAACAGTGACAGTGAAATCTGAAAGGCTGAATTATTCCTCACAAATCCCATGATACATTGGCGTAGAAGACAATACATGTGCACTTATTGAAGTCTGTGACTAGTTGGGGTTGCTCCGGGCCCTCCTTTTCCCACACCACTAAAAATATGCACCATACTGAAGGTAAAGCCCTCCCGCTCTGGCCCTGACCAAAAGCATCAACATCTGGAGATGGTCTGCAGGCAGCGAGGGTCTGCAGGCAGCGAGGGTCTGCAGGCAGCGACCACTGCTCCCTACACCTATGAAGCTGAACAATAGCGCCACACGCACGCACACAATTACACACACACAGACACACACCGTGTCTCGTTGTCTCCTCTATACAGAACATATGTTCCCCTATGTTGTCATTTATCTTTCCATTCAAACAACCATTTACAGAAAAATGTGGCATCATTTTGCAGATAGTTCGAAATGAGATTAATTGTGATTAATTAATTGTTAAGCTGTAATTAACTCAATAATTGTTTTTATTGTTTGACAGCCCTATTATAAATACACACGATAGACTTTTAACATTGCAGATGATCAATAAGTATCCAGAGGTGTGAGATTATACGGTGGCATAAGTTTAGTGAAGTGTAAATACAAAATTGGTCACCTATCCTATTCCACCATTCTTCACCAGATTTGCATGTTTAATCATTTATTTGAACGGTATTAATACTGCACAAAAAGGAATGGGCTGAAGCAAAAAGCGTATTTAGATAGTTACTGACAACAACAGTACTGATTATAAATGTATCATGCCCAGAGAAGAGATATTGCCACGCTGAAGATGCCATTGCCATTCTCAGTACAGAAGAAGAAGTAACCCTATGTTGTGTAAATATTGCTATAGCATGCAAGTACTATAACTTTTGAGGTGATCATAACCCAAACAAACTGAAAACAACAATGGCGTCTCAGCAACTTTGAAGGACTCTCTGTCACATCCATCACTTCTTCTAATTGTAATTTCTTGCCTGTTTTTTTTCCCCACTTCCCCTTCTCGCTGTCTGGTCGGGCATTGGGAAAAACAAAAGTGTACAAGTCTCCCCTGCAGGAAACATTCTCCTCTGCTAAAGCTGGGTGGCTGTGATAAGCGAGGCGCACACGTCAACTCAGCACCTTGCCTGCGCGCTACAAAACAGGCCAATCAATACATCATTAATCATGGGTTTAACGCGGCCAGGCTCTACGCGGACAGCCATTCAAATGCAGGGATTAGTGGGCGGAGGAAGGCGACTGACGGATCGCGTTGTGAAGTCCAGACGAGGGTTGGGATAAACGATTGGAGGAGGCAAGTTTTGCTAAAGGTGTGTGTTGAGGAAAAGTGGAAGAAAGACATCTGATTTCATTCTTGATTTGAGGCCACAAAATAACTTGAGGAGCCTGAAGAGATGCCGAGGAAAGGCTCACCAGTGGGGATGTGAACAGGTGAAATGAGAATAACAAAAGAACAATTGTCAAACACAAGCAAACTTCAAACAAGACATAAATACCAGACAGTTATGATAATAACAGTGCATTGTTTATATACAGCGCTTTTTTAACACACAAAGACGCTTCACATGTCATCATTCATTCACTTCATACAAATTGGTGATAAACTACCACTGTAGCCACAGCTGCCCTGGGGCACGCTGTCAGAAGCAAGGCAACCAGTATTAGCCGTTTGCTCCTCCGACGACCATAAACCATTCACACCAGACTCTTTTCTAGGCAATGAGGATACGAATCTTGCTCTTACACCAGGTGCGACAGCTGCCCCACTGTGGCACCTGGTGTTCTCAGAGGCCTCCCATCACATTACTATCCAATCCCTACCCTGCTTAGCTTCAGAGATCCGGCGGGATCTGGCTTTCACATGCAGGCAGTGCCAAAAACATGGTTAAAAACTTCAACGTCAATATTGCATCATACGTGTCCTGCTGTGAGTAATGCTATCATCGATAATCTCATAAAATTGTTTAATAAATACATTTCTTCCAAACCCCCATACCTTCAATGTCAATGACGCCTCTATCTCCTAAGTGCACTCTCGCTCCCTTCGGCATCTATAAAGCTATGATTCATGACTGTGAGTCATCGGAAACGTCTTGTAACGCATGATTTACCTTTGGTGTGAGTAGAAAAATTGACGGAGATACAAAATCACATGGGAAGAGTTGTCGTTATACCTGCGGCCAATAAACCCAACGATCAATCCTCTAATTCACTCAGCATCAAACACGGAAAAACGGCACCGTTCAAAAACTGCCACCATTCAGAAACCACGGCTTAAGAGGACGTTGATGGTTACCCAGTTAACGGTGCTTGTATCATTTCTGTCCAAGTTGATGACGGCGAGGAAACGGTAAAGTTTACGCCACCGATAGTAGTAAGTAAGTAAGCTTTTATTTATATACCGCCTTTTCACTGCACATCGGAGTCTCAAAGCGGTTTACAATTGTTGGGAGTGGGGTTTCCAGTACAGGAGGCACATGCCATACCTATTGTACATATTTTTAGTGGTAGGGGAAACCGGAGCACCCGGAGGAAACCTACGCAGACACGGGGAGAACATGCAAACGATAGTGGGGATTAGAATGCACAGAGGGTATGTCCAGTGCAAAAAAAGGCAAATGTGTGTAAAAATGAAATAGATTTATACATAAATGACAAACGTTTCTTAGAAGTGTTTTGAAGGTAAAAAAATTGCTGTTGTCAATTTTAAAAATCGACTCAAAAGTTGTTACCCTAATGAAGTCATGGTTCTGGAATCTACAAAAAGTCCAGGACCAAAAAAGTAGTTGGTCTGTAAGAACATAGTAGCAAAGACAAAGAGGCTTTTTGTTTTGGGAGTGTAATGACTCAGCATAATGTATATTTTTAGTCTTCCAAACTTTGTCTGAACTGTTTCTGAGCCGAGTCAGGATGGTTTTCCACTGGATAAGAGCAAGTGTGAGTACCCATAGCACCTTACTGTTTAGGCACTAGCCTTTCAACAAACTGCTTTTGCTGTTTTTCAAGTTATATTAACCAGTTTCTGTGATTAAAGTAAGAACAAACAAAAAAAAAAACTAATAAAGTCCCTACTTTTAATAAATCTGGGGGAAATTCCTCTAGTTTGAATGGCAGCAGTCAAAATGGCGGCACCGAGCGTTCTAGGAGTCATAGTTTTAATTCTTGTCATAATACAAATTAGAAAAGCAGGTTCGATGGTTGGACTAGGCCTGGATTCAGTGGAGAAGGTGGTGGAGCAGAGAATGCTCTCCAAGTTTAGCGCATCCCTGTCTAATGAGTCATCCCCCTAACTCCATCTCTTTTCTGCCAGAGAAGCACCATGAGCTCCAGACTCCACTCTCTAAGATGCACAAATCTCTTTAGTCCTTTATGCCATCAAGCTTTATAACAAAGCCACTTCAGGCAGGAGCAAGGGAAATGTCTTTCTTGGTCTTATTTATTTATTTATTGATATTTTTTGTTGTTGGAACTCAGAAATTATCCTTCTATGTTTGTGAATGTAAGGAGGGAACTAATGCATAATTTCCTTCAGGATCAATAGAGTATGTTTCTATCCATCCCTATCTATCTATCTATCTATGTATCCATTTATATAAATCTATCATCTATCAAAGCTACTTCACATTTGCGCGAAAATCTGAAATTCCCTCCTTGACTCCCATGATCAGTCGACAGTAGTGGGTCCATGGCCTCTCAACTGCGTGTTTGCAGAAGCAATGTCAGCATCACTGAAGCACAGTTCAAACTCACACAGACAAAGAGGGGAGAGGCAGTTTAGCCTCTCATAGCATCTCTTAGCAACAACATATAATCAATTAAATAATCAAATTATATTTTTTGTTTGCTAAGACCCCCCAAAATTATGATTTTTGCTATTTTTCTTATGTTTAAATGCTTCAAAAACAAGCACCTTTAGTTCAATTTGATTCAATGTATTTCTGTATAGTCCTAAATCACAAGACTATTTATCTTGGAGGACTTTACAAAGTTGTCGATTCGCCCACAAAGGTCAGAGAATCCAACAGTTCAAACATAAGAAATTCAATGATAAATTAAAGCTGCAAGATGCATATAGCAGCATTTCCTTTGTTTACGGATTCTGCAATTTCACATTTGGATTGAGCTATTGTTCAAATAAAGATAAGAACATTCTCTACCAAAAGGTTCTACAGTAGGTTTTAAGAAAAGTGCATTATAAAATAAAAGGCCCATCAGAAAACCTGCTTAGACATTTGTCATGGATTTCATAAACATATCAGGATCAATTCCCGATATGTTCCACCAATGTAGGTTTAGAGGAATTAGCAGCAGAGGAGTTTTCTGTACCACTTCTGATGCTTCTTCTCCAACTTGAACTCCATGGCCAACCACTTCTTCTCCAGCGAGGAGCGCTCTTCTTCTTTACCTTCTGGCTCAAAGCAAGAAACTCAACCTCCAACAGAAAGCAGCCCTCTTCTGTTTCTGTTAGCTTTTGGGACAAAGCAATGACCTTTACCTCCAGTAGGGAACACTCTTGCTTTACTGTGATTTGCCCCTCATTGAACTCCTCAAAATGGCGGCCTTCTCTTGCTTCTCCCGCTCCTGCATCAGCTCCTTCAGTGACTTGTTCAGGAATCGGTTGCCGTCTTCTTTCGTTTGGAGGTTGCCCTGGTCGCCCTTCCTATACCTTCAGGTTCAGCCTGATCTTCCAGTCCCTGGACTTCTTGATCGCATCCATATCTATGTCAGAGTAACCAGCTTTGATCTATTAGCGCATTAGAATCTTCTCTTTAGCCTTTTCTTGTGGCTGTGCGTCCAGTTTGCCACCGTCTTTGAAATCTCCTCCAATTCCTCTTTGAGATTTCCCAAAGAAACGTCCACTTGAGCATTCTTCTCAAGCAACATAGTGCTTTTTGTCTCAGTCTTTAGTAGTTGTGACTTGGCTTCCTCGGTTTGTAGGCAGAGAATCTTCTTTCATATTATTTTTTTGAGTTCAGCGACCTGGCTTGTCAAACTCCCTATTTCACAGTTCCTTGTCTGAAACTGTGTATTTTAGTTCCTGCATTGTTTTGGCTTGTTCGTTGAGTTTGATCTCGTGAGCATTTTTTGCTTCAACTTGAAATTTGGTGCTATCAGACTTTGTATGTGGAAACTCGAGTACATTTGGAATAGTCATAATTGGAACAAAAGTAATCAACATTTTTTGGATCTTCAACTCATATACTGTCTAACTGATCACAATTATGTTGCTAACTTTTGATGCTACATATGTTTACAGTAGATGATGTGGAGCGATTTTTAGCCAGTGAAACGGCCGAAGCTGGTTCGTTAAAAGTGTGCGGTGTAAATTTGAGATATTTTAAGATTTTCCCATTGAAACAGAAAGGGGAGTTTTTTGTCATCATAGTGTTTTTAAACAGGGTGAAAATAAATCATGGGTCTTATTGACTTTCTGGATCAACATTCCAAATTTTCAGCATGGATTTATCAGTGTTTTGGCCAGCGCTGTCAGGCTTGGGGGAACAAATGTCCAGGCATCAGCTTAGGCATTACTCGCTGGGATAGCAAGAGGCCCTACCCCTGTTGGGACTCGGGCCTAAAACCACTGTAGAGTCATTGGTCCATAACGGGCAAATTACAAATGGCCATAAAGGTCGTTGAATGTCCTGGATCATCACCACTGTCCATAGACCCTCCTTGATCGGCAAGGAACTAAATAAAACTCCACAATATGCCCCACAATAAAGCCAGAGTTATCTGCTTGATTCACAGCGGAGATACAATGTCACATGAACAGTGTTGTCTTTATGCCTGAGGCCATAAACACAACGATCAATCGACTCATGCACTCAGCATCAAAGATGGAAAACTGCAGCATTCAAAAACGACGGCTTAAGAGGTTGTTGATGGTTACCCAATTTACTTCAAAATATAAAGTTAGACATTACTATAACTATACTATTTACAAATAATTAGTATCTGATTGTATGTAATGAATGCAAAATTTGACTAAGGAAATTACAAAAACTAAATTTCAGTCTAATTTGAATGTCTGAACAATGTTGTAACTTCCAAACTGAGAATTGATAGTCCTAGTCTTAATTAAACAATAGAACAAGATATTTGTTTGCATGTTCCATTGGCAAATGTTGTGTTAAACCCGTCTATGTACAGTCTTAGAAATTCCCTTCTCAAAAGATAAAAATAAAGAAAAAAGAGTTAAATCTGCTGTAAAGGTCCTATACTAGAATTTTTTTTGGATGTGTCTTACTTAAAACTGAGGGATTTTATATTGTTATCTTTCTTTTTAATGTACTGTGATTATTTATGCTATTTTAATGCTATAATGCTATATGGTTTTGTTCAGCACTTTGAGTTGCCTTGTGTATGAATTGTGCTATACAAAAAAACTAGCCTTGCCTTGCCTTACCTTAATGAAATACAGAAAAAAAAATTTAGCCATCACCTATCCCTACTCTAACCTTCATTCAAAATATTTACATTGTAATATACTATAAAACTAAAACTAATACTTACAAACACTAGGATTTAAAATGCATTTACAACTGCATGAACCCATGTATTACTTTGGGACCGCCCAAGACCATAACGTCCACACAGCATGGTTTTTGAGGAACGAGTGCCCTCTACATGCCGCACTAGCATCACCAATTTAAACAGTTTTATTTGTATGTTATGTTATAATATCTTCAGAAACTCAATAAAAATGCATATAATATTTTCAAGTACAATGATTATAGAATCATGTATAGTATGTATAGTCTTGGGGTCCATTGGGATATATCTTAACATTATTACAATATATCAAAATGTTTTTGTTTTCATTATTAAATTATTTTTTTCTTTGAATAATTGTTGGTATATCTTGTGCCTGCTTGAAATAAATAAACAGTTACATCTTATGTCTTATTGGATCATAACAGATGAGCCACTATCCAGTAACTGTTTTTGTATCACCTATCACATCCCAGCTTCCAAAATCAACTGTCGGCAACAGTCGCTGACAAATTTAAGATGTAAAACCACTTAATTACAATAAACAAATCAAATATTTACATCCCATCTGCGTGATAAGTTAATAGCACTCTAATGCCTCGTATGTTTCCACTTGTCTAGACTGGCCTTGTAATAATTATTGAATTGGAGCGAGAGAATGCTTTCATTCAGCAGTGTCCCAGTGAACTTCGCCACGTAATCTGACAACGCGCTCGATGTGAACTCCTGATGAACCCGCTCTGAGTGAGTGTTGTGTCCTAATACGGGATAATTATTGTTGGAAGAACGCAGATGGCATGAAAAACACAACAAAAATCACGTTATTGTACTGCTGTTGACGATCTACGCGCAGTTAAATCGGACTACATGTAATTTGCGATTGACCCAAAAACCTCGCTGTGACCGTTTCTGTCAGACACCTCCGTCGGCGAATGTTAAGTCATGCTCTCGTTGGCTTAGAAATGCCAGGCGAGTTATAATTCACAATCTGGTTCTTGTATTCTTTGCCCGAAAATGGGGCATGATTAACGCACGGGCTGATAGATGTTGGTGTTGGCCTTTTGGACTCGGAGGTGTGCGTGGTTTCGGCCCCCCTCGAAATATAACTTAAGCCAGTGATCCTGGGGCGGGCACATCGCGGCGTGGACTTTGGATGACCCCATTTCTACTGCTTGTCTGTTCACTCCACTGTAGTGTGGTTTGTTACAATTCAAAGGTTTTTTTACTTTGATACACTTTGGGGATGGCATTCATTGACTGATAAAGGAGATGAGAAATGTAAGTCCATTAATAGTGCTTAGAATTAAATAGTGTTGAACTGACAGCTTGCAATGGTAAAGCTGTTTGGTATGTGTTGCTTCATTCTACCACTTTTCTAACCATGCACCATGTATATCTGTCTGTATCCTTTGTTTAGAAAAATTTCAGCAAGATAAGAATAAAGGAAAAAAAAGGACATAATATTAAACAATGCCGTTTTTATTGTATGTTAAATAGTGTTCAAAATATAGCATCGGTTAGGGTTATTATTATTGATCAGTACTGATCAATAATTGGTTAAATATTGCATTAATATTATCATTATCACTATTATTATTTTTCCGAGTAGTTAAACTCTCATCAAAGACATGCGGATTCAGTATTTTTTTAAATATATATATATGAGTGTGTTCACAGTAAAGTGACAATTGAAGTATCTGGACTTTAAAAGGTTATAACTTAAAAACTAAAATTACTTTCATAGATTGGAAAAAAGATTTCAAACACGGACAGATTGAAGAGATAGTGTGGAAAAAATCAAAAGGAAAGATTGACATAAAAATGTTTAGCAACATTTTAAACGACCAAATCAGCCTCTGATTGGACCATTCTACTGTGACGCCAGTTACATAGAAAATAAAATTTCCTCAGTCTGAAAAAGCAGAAGATGAAATCCCACAATATTTACATGGTTAACACAACAGAAGGAAATCACTTCATATAAAAAAGGAATCGTAAAAAAATAAAAATTAATTAATTAATTAAATTACCCCTGAAAAATGTATAACGGACGTGATGAGGACGGTCCTCTTTTCTCTAAAAATTAAACTTGAGAAAAAAAATAATCTGGTCTGTTTTCACATTTAATTGCTCGACAATATGAAAGTATCACTTTGCATCTACTTTGTGTAAAAAAATGGAATCTCTGAATCAAATGTGGACATCTGAAAATACCTATCAAACTTCCACAAATCTCATTCCGTCAAATCATCACGTCTGTTTTATAAAATAAACAGGGCCGCTATAGGAAACTTGTCTAATGTATAAAACAGTTATGTTCTAGCAACTTCTAATGAACAGAGGAGGTGCTTGGAAACATGAAAAACATAAAATATCTTCTGATTATTAAAATCCAATTTTTGGCCTTTTGTCACACTTTTGTGCCCTTTAGTGTGAACAAGCCCATATATATATTTAGCATATGCGGTAAAAAATCAACAATGACATTTGTTAACAAAGCAATAGATACATTTGTTAAAAATATTAGAGTTTTTACAGCCTGATTCCTGGATCTGCCCGTTTGAGCAGACCCCTCTCTCAATATAGGGGGCTCTCACTTTTTCCCCGGCTGGTTTTTTCTTAGAGGAACCCGGCAACGGATGAAGCGGAAGAAAATGGATAGTGGATGGATGGGTTTTTTCTTGAGTTGTTCCTTACCGCTCCCAATAGCTCCTATGCATTTGTCATAATTGTATTTATCACGTTCTTTTATAACATCAAAAAAACCCTATATGTTGAGGTTCTGAGAAGAAACATAAAAAACCAACCCTGCACCACAGGACAACTCTGGGTCGTACACTTATCTGTACTGTTCTCCCAACTACATTTTGGGCTGAGACATCTCACCTTAAAGCCACAACACATAGATTATATTAATTAAAATTGGCAGACTTGTATTTCAATTCATGAATGTAATTTTGAGTAAGTAAATCATATTCAATTCCAATTATATATAATAATAATAAACACAACAGAAGCCATAGGATCATAGGGAGCAGGAGGACCCTAAATGTTAGTTAATGTCCTTAATCATTGCAGTTCTTTGACACGCCTACCTCAGGAAGGAACCCCTCAAAGTGTCCACTATATATTCTAATAACTCTCATTTTAAACTATTGTCTTATTTTTTTTGTTTTTCAGCTCTTTTCAGCATTTTTTTGTTTTGTTTTTAGTTGCAAATTAATATGTACAGTATTAGTTCCCCTCGGCTCACCAGCTCAAAGCTGTAAGGGAGCCAACACCTGTGGGGAATATTCAAAATTAAGCTTTATTTTATGTTTTACAAAGACCCCATTAAAAAGCATCAGAAATATTAACAAAAATATATTTCTCTAGCCTTTTTAAAAATGAATAACTAAATCATAGCAGGATCCCAGGCGGATCATCTCCACAAACCGAATTTCAGGCCAAGTTTTCTCTCTGCTGTAGTGAACAGTATATAGGTTATCTTATCAACAACTAATGAATGAATAATGAATCGGCTTTTTGAATAGGGAGCAGGAAAAGTAATGTGGTGCGAATGCTAGAGGTGGTCTAATAAATCACTGTACATCCACTGTAAACTGTGGTCAGGCTGTCATCGCCACTCCTCTGTTCCAAAGTCCGACCTTAAACACGCCTTCTTCACTTCGGCTTCAGTCATAATATTTGGGACCCTGTGCGTGAGAGAAGTTCTAATTGAAAAGGACAAAGTGCTGGAAAGTCATGCAGTGGAGCAATTTTACTGTTCAGAAAAGTGGGATCGTAATGAACTAACCGGAATCAACTTTCAATACTTGACTATTTGTAATGGAGGGGATAGGAATGATGGATACACATATTGGGAGTGTCACACAAGTTTGGAGTCACAAACAATGTGATTGTGATATTAGAAACTGTATTTCGTTTTTTTAAATATTTTTTTCCTGGCCTAAGGACATTGTACTATCATCTACAGTAAGTCATTTTCAACCATATTTTTTTCAAAACAGTACCTTCCATCAGCGTAACTACCACCAGTAAGATTTGCTGAAGGAGAACAGTTAAATGACATTTAAATAAAATGTGTCCAATCAGAAAGTTGTCACGCTGATAATGAGCGTGTCTAACCAGATATCATCAAAAAGTCTCTGACAAAAACAGTTTTAATTTAACTTTGTACATGTTCTGTGAATGAAAGGCTCAACCTTGACTCAAAGCCCTTTTAGTAAAACAGTTAAATACATGCGTCCTGTACACTGGGGTCAGGCCTTAAAAGCAAACTGGCTCCTGATTTATCGACGTTGCAGCCTCCCAATTAATCAGCTAATGTTCCTACAGTAATGCACATGTCAACACCACCACTTTCCACTCTTCCGTTGTGCAAGACCGAAGACCTTACATAGCGCCACCTGCTGAGACCGAGAAAGTAAGGCTGCAATATTTTATAATATGCAATAATATTTTAGTTTTGGGAAAGTGCAAAGGGGACAAAACCTATAAATTATCTTATTTGTTTATTAAAGGTACACTGTGTAATATTTAGTGCCATCTAGCGTTGAGATCTTGTATTGCAGTCTATTAAAGTAAGGGTGCCATTGAGGTTGAGGAGCACTGTTGCCTATACTATTTGACAGTGCTCCTCAACTCTCAGTCATTCACCAGACTGCCAAGGAAAGAATACTTTAGTTTGATAAATGACCGGATCTCTTCAAACGTCTCGGGCATTTGACAGTCATGTGGAGGTATGTAAACAAGACCACGTTCGGACGCAGCACAGAGGCTGCACTGAGTTTTACCATGGATCCATTATAATTAGGGCTGTCAAAATTATCGCGTTAACTCACGTTAATTACATTTTTCATTAACGCGTTACATTTTTTTAACGCATGTCCGAATGACCCGCCCATTTATCCATAATAACACTCAGAATGCTGCGTGTGAGATGCATCAGAGCAGGTAGGCCTTCTGGGAATTCAAGTTTTAAAAGAATACGTGCGTAACCGCAGGGCTGTTATTTGCTCTGAACTGAAGTCCGCCTCCTCCGTTGCCGCTCTGGTTGTTGTTAGCGGCTGCAGCTGACAACAACACGGCTGTGAGCGAATGCCGCTGCGGTAACATGGTCATATAAGACCAAACACGCTACTCAACTATTCTCTGCATGTTGTGTTCGTTTCTTTGCAACCTGTGCGTAACCTGTGCACGCAAATACACAAAAGTGTCCCTGTCTCCTCCTGAAACTAAACTAAACTCGCTGAATTAAAGCTGGGGTATGTACATTTCCCCCTTTCATTAACAGCTCATTTTGGTTGTGCCCAAAAGTAAAATGTTGTGAGCAAATCTATTTGGTCTGAATGACAATGTGTAATTACATTTGATAATATCATTTAACTTCAATTGGAGTGGATTTGAAATAGAACGTTAAAAATGCGATTAATCGTGAGTTAACTCACCATTAGTGTGCAATTAATCAACTAAAAATGTTTTATCGTTCGACAGCCCTAATTATAATATATAGTTTTACAAACGCGGTGTGAAGAGAAGAGATGCATGGAGGAATATCATCTGTGGGAACTTAACTCACTGACTGCCAGGCATTTTCAGATTTGAGAAGTGCGTTCTGCCAGCAATTTCAGGTGATTTGACCCAACTTTGAAGTGCCACAGAATATTCATTTTTTAGACGATGTAAACACCAAGGGCACCAAATTAAAGATTAACCTCTCTGCTTTACTCTAAAAAAAACAGTTTGTTTCTACCTCTTACCGTTCTTGAGTTATTTGCCATAGAACAAAGCATACTTTCACCCACAACACCTGGTCTGAGCAAGAAAACAGAGAAAACGAGCTGTATGTAAACAGGAACATATCAAGCAGAAAAGAGACTTTTAGATGCATTTTTGCTGCTTTAGTGACAACTCAAAACATCTTCACACTTGTTCCATTACAAAAATTATAAAAACATGACTCTGAAATAATACTTTTGATGGCAAATTGTTGGCGATTTATTCACAGATAGAAAATTTAACTTTCTTCTATACCATCAACCAAAACGTCAAACAACAACAACACAAAGATCAATAAAACTATAGATGTATAAAATAGAATGAAGCATGTGAATGTGTGAATGTCAGTGTGCGAGTGAGTGTCTGTGTGAGTGAGTGTCTGTGTGTGTGAATGTCAGTGTGCGAGTGAGTGTCTGTGTGCGTGAGTGAGTGAGTGAGTGCGTGTGAGTGTTCGTGAGTGTGTGTATGAGTGAGTTTATCTGCTTTTTCAGTCCTCCCAGTAGTTCAGCTTTGAGTTGTAGAGGTTGAAACACTGTGTGCAACGGAACACGACACGATGTGACATTTGTAGTTCTCCCTCCGTGAAGAAGAGCTCCAGAAAGTCTGGATCAGATGAATCCAGCTCCAGAAAGTCTGGATCAGATGAATCCAGCTCCAGAAAGTCAGGTGGATCAGATGAATCCAGCTCCAGAAAGTCTGGATCAGATGAATCCAGCTCCAGAAAGTCTGGATCAGATGAATCCAGCTCCAGAAAGTCAGGTGGATCAGATGAATCCAGCTCCAGAAAGTCTGGATCAGATGAATCCAGCTTCGCAGCCTCTGTCCGCAGTCTCTGAGGTCCAGGAGCTCCTGTGAAGGGACTGACTCGGCTCCCACTCATCCTCCTGTCAGCCATCTTCCCCAGAGCTTCTGGGTGACGAACGTGCTGGAAATTGGATACACACAATAAATATATCATACAGTGAATTTGTTACAATAAATCAATACATAAAATACAATGAAGGCCTTCCTCCCACATTATTGACTGACTACTTTTGGACCAAACACAGTATACTATATTATTATTATTATATTATATTGCCATGGGATGTACAAGAATAGAAATAGTAGTTCTTTTACCTTTTTTGTGCACAGCAACTGCCTCTTGATGCACCACCTGTAAATAATATACATTTGTAAATCACTATACCAGGAGAATATATACAATAATATGTACAATAGTATGAGGAGGAATCATCTTTACCTCCATGCCCTGTCAACCCCAATGGGGGAGGGCTCTTTTATCAGAATCTGTGAATGGAGAACACATTTCATTTAGTCAGAGCTATGACACTACAACAAGATGTTCAAGCATGAAATAACTAAACATAAAAATAATAAATACAACAATGATAAAACGCATAACTGGCATTTACTAAAGAAACAGTAGGATTTGAGCGCTGTGTTACTTTGCAGATCAGAGCAAGTTTCCGCGCCTTTCCCTCCTCTCAAGTTAGCATATTCTAGGCAATTTAGCAAGTTCTTACCTTCGACTCTTTGTGGAGCTTCTGGAGAGGATGCTCTGCTGGTTTGAGACTGCAACCACTCATCCGATAAATCATGATCAGGTTTGCTGAACGAATCCGAGGCATCAGTAACAGCAGCAGCTGATACGCTGCGAGAGGCGGAAGGTGTGTCCCTGCTCCGGGCTCTGGGCTGCAGAGACGGACCTCCACCGGGTCTCCACTCTCTCCCCTCTCGACCTCACTCACTGATCCGCGAGTCAATCTCTGAAGCAGTGTACACTGCTTATAACTATTCTTTTTCGCCATCACTCTTGCTATACTATCGCTAAACTAGATCGCTGATCTGTCTCAATGCTACGCTATCATCGCTCTGCTACAGCAGCACGCTCTCCAAACACTCCCACACTCCTCCTCCTTCTCTCCAATGACTTATGACCTCTCCTGTGGTGCAATACTGCATCCTACTGGTGTTGATTTATCACTACAGGTACATTTGCACTATATATCAGTATTGTGGGTCATTCACAAGGTGCGCCAGACATTACTGTAGCCTCCCGTGTAATAACACGAAAAACTCGTCAAACTCGTCATGGGCAGTGAGCGTTACTATTCAACATGACGAGTTTTGTCGTCATGGGCAGTGAATGAGTTAAAACTACGATCAAAGAAACAGGAGATATACACAGCTAAAAGCTCATGTTAGCATTAGTGTTAGCCGTAGGCTTTTTGCGCTCGGAGTAGGTCAGAACATCCTGAGACTGTGTTGTAGAGTCTGCCTCGTTCTCATTATTGTCAGTGTGAAAAAGTGACGTATTGTTCACGTGTGAGTCTGTTGTGTACAAACTACACAATGTGCCTCCTGTTGTGTTAACGCTGGCTTTGTGCGTGTGGTTTGCGATGTTGACACTTTGCTGCTATGCCGCTGGACTTCTGCATAATTATTTTTCTAAAAGATTGTTGTTTGGATCGTTCTTTTACATAACTGTGGTCCTCCATAGTTTATTTTTCCAACTTGTGTAGACACGGTGAAAGCACTCGATATCAGTAGCTCATTTGAAACAAATACTTGATTCTCGCATACTTTTTGTCCCTTATCCACCAACGTTTTCCAAGATGGCGCATTGACACAGAGAGCAATCCTCTCTCATGGACACTTATAAGTTCAATTCTAAGCCTATGAAGACAATTCAAAAAACATTGTGGAGGTAAATATTCTTTAAAAGGTCACATTTGTTATTAGTTAACATGTTTTTTCATATGGAGCACCTGTAAAAATTACACAGGGTGGCTTTAAGAGTTGATTTAATAGTTGCTGAACAATAAAATACACAGCCATTACTATTGTGCATGTTTTCCCAAAAAATACAGATTTCCATGCATGAATGGTGCCTTCTTAACCTCTACATTGCCTCACACGTACTATTCTCCATGGATCTCTTCTCAGCAGGCCTCATCAAAGATATTGTGCTTGCACGTGTGAACCCTGATTCTGATTCCATGCCACTGTTTGGACTGAATAGAACACAGATTGAAGTGGCAGGTACTCACAGCAGCAGCGTCTCTGTGGGTTGTTCCGTAACCGTGGCGGGAGGCTGAATTACACCGAGACTTAAAGGAAACACCTGCGGCATACCTCTCCCAGGGCCACCCCCTCAGGCTGTTTGCAAATTGATAATATTATATAGTCTGTAGTATTGAAAAAGGAGATTCCAGCAAGTGTGGAAGGGCGATTGCTACGTTGGTTGGTGTTTTCAACCGGCACCAACAGGAGAAAAACCAATTACTATTATGCGTTATTTATGTTTATGATCTCGTGATCATTTAGTTTTAGAATGTCCAGGGATTTTGTTTCTCTAATGTATCAAACTATTATCAATTAAAATATAATAGGGCCTTTATGAGTGGAGTTTGCATGTTCTCCCTGTGTCTGTGTAGGTTTCCTCCGCATGCTCCGGTTTCCCCCACCACTAAAAACATGTACAAAAGGTCTGGCATTTGCCTCCTGAATGGCAACCCCGCTCCCATCTCTGTGTGGAGTGAGAGAAAAATTCCCACAACAATTGTTGACTCTGGTCTGTGAAAGGCACTATATAAATAAAGATTACTTACTCATAATAATAATAACACATTTTTATTTCCAAGGCGTCTTTCTAAGGTCGCATTACTTAACAATTGTCGATTATCACATTTCTATCAAACTTAACCCAAACCCGGCGCAGTTCAGCCATTTTACTTTGTTCGCCTTCACCAAATGCCAACACATTCTCAGTCATTACCAATCTTTCAAATCCAGGTTTAAGCCGGCGTCGACCCCAATGTCCTACACACGGACCGCCTCTGTCTGCGTCCCGTGTTTGGCCACATTCTTCCCCCTCTTCACACATTAGGTAATTACTCGCACAAGGTAATTAAATCTAGCCCTAAAGCCACTGTGGTCATCTGCTGGGCTCCGGGACAGTATTAGAGGTTCATGATGGCGATCCCAGGCTTACGTTTCTATTGCATTATGGGGCCTGGCTGAGAGAGGGTCAATTAGATTTGTCTGTGTTGCAGCTGCTCCGGGGCAGGTGTGTCATGTTTGGATGCAAGTTTGCTTTAAAGATCAGGAAGTGTAACGGGAACATAAGAAGAGGACGTTGTAAACTATGCCAAGGAGGAGTTTTTTGGGTTTTTTTTTTTTTTTGTAGAAAGAAAAAAATACATTGGTATTGGTTTTACTATTTAAACCAGGCATCTCCAATTGTGACCCTCTGTGTCATTATATGTGGCTCTATACCTTGCTGACCAAAAGTAGTGTCTGGTTCATTCCTGACTGTAGTCTTTGAGATTGTAAACAGAAGTTTACAGTGTCCTCCAGCCAACTTAAGCTCTGTTATAGCTTTTTTTTTAAAGCTTAACAGACTGTCCCTCTTACAAAAAATTTTTGGACACCCCAGATCTAAATTGTCATAAACTTTAAGATTTATATTTGAAAAATATATTTCAAAACGGTCACAAACAGTCATTTTTTCAATCACTAAATACATTTTTTTTTTTTGATGTTTTATTTCTTGGACAAAATATATAATTGTTACATTTATATATATATATATATATATATATAGTAACGTTATTTATATATGAACATTATATTTACTAATGCTATATAAATCATAAGAAAATAAACGCAACCCCAAAAAATCCCCTGAAAAATGTACAATTCCATTAAAAAAGAGCCTTTGTATGCCAACCAAACAGGGCCTCTCCTGCAGAACAGGATGGTTTAAGGAGTTAATATTACATTATTATACTTATTTTTTTGGCTGTTTTCTTTTCTTAAACATAACTGTGAATAAAACTATCTCTTCATTGTGTTGACATCTTTAACTGTATCAGGCCAATGGACATAAATATAGTTATACTGTTTAGCTGACTAGCTTTGGATGACCATCTCCAACATGACATCACAGCGTTTTACATTGCATAGACCGAAACATTCCTTGTAATCTGCCCTCCTTGTAAATCTGTGCGTCTAAGAGGATGGCTCTATTTATCATTGCATTTAGCTTACCCCTGACCGCGTATGCCTCAGGTCAAAGGCCGGAGGTCCGATGGAGCCGAAAGGACGCTGCATCTGTTGCATTTGCTGTCTGAGTGTTATGTGGGTGGATCGGTCCGAGTTTGGTCAAGGCAGGGGTGGCTCGTCGCTCCGCACAACTTTGCAACATGGGTCCACTCTACTGGAAGCCAATCAAACTTCAAAGACAGGATCATTGTTTGGGTCATTTGACATCAGTGGAAGGCATACAAGTATTAGTAAGTAGTGCTCACAATCAGTGCTCATGATTCGAAATAATTCTACCTCCAATACTACAAATTCCACAGTGGTAGAAACATGTGGACTAAGTTAAAACCCCCGAATTTACTTTATGGTATCAAAGTTTATATCTAGTTCTGAGATAGAATTTTTGTTTTGTTTACAAATAGGTAATCTTTCATATTTTGTAGGTGTATTTATAATAGTTTAGAACATATGATAATGCTAACCTAAAGACTTAAAACATAAAGGAAAATTACTTTATTTATTTTTTTAAACACATTTTTTGTTTATGTTTATGATACTAACATAATGTAAATATGTAGGAAAAAAAAGGTGTAAAAACAAAAGGAAGTAACTAATGTTTAGACGATGAAAAAGGGGGTGGGAATCATTAAGTGTTCAACTTCACCCCACGCCTTTCTAAGTAACAATGAATGTTTTTTGTTTTTTTTTTACTAACAGTGTTCTTATGACCACTGTATTCTGGTTTGTTATTGTTGTTGAACATGATGTACACTTTTTCATTGTGTGCTTGAAATAAACTAAACTAAAATGAATACTAAAACATATTTTGGGCAAATATTTTGTTTCATTTGACAGTATTTTTTCATGTTGAAAAAAATACTGATAGGATTGTAAAATTTAATAAGAGGATACAGAATTGTATACATTGCTTCTTTAATAAGCTTAATATATTGATATTATTTTATGCTTTAGATTATATGCTATAGTTGATATTCTCTTTTCTTTCTGTTGTGTCCTCCTCATTCATACTGTTCAGTAACCTGTGGTGCAACACATTTCCCCACTGTGGGACGAATAAGCTTATTCATCTTAATCAAAAAGTACTTAATTTGAGCTCATAGTGACATGCTTCCATAAAAGTCCGATGTATAATTCCCTAAAAATGTAAAAAAAAACATAATGTCTAATAAATTAAATCAATATGACATTTTGTATAATCTAATACAGGAGAGTGAAACAATAAAGCTCATTTTTAGCGGCCCATGAAATTATTATCAGTTATTAATCTTAATCTGCCAGCACGGATGTAAACTCTAAAAAAAAAAAACACACAAAAAATGTGTTAACCTAAAATAAATTAGGTTGACACCCCAATATAAAACAATGCAAAAACTGTAAATACTTTATATTAATTTGATACATTCGAATAATACATACTGTAGCAGACACTGGAATAAACTGTTAAATCTGGAGTGACTAACTTTGAAACCACACAATAATAAACTCCGTGAAACTAGTCCCTGAATGTAAATATTTGTTTCTTAGCCTAGTTTTGACGTGCATGTATTTTTCAGCTTTTTCTGCAAGAAAAGTGAGAAGAACCATCCTCACTCCACCAGTTCCCTGTATGTAAAAGATGTAATGTTTTCTAATAAGATGAAAACATATACAGTAAGACAACGGTTTGTTGTCTTATTTATTCACAACAACTAACTTAAACATGAATTAATTCCCCTTAATTAGTCCATTTCTGGGTTGGGGGATGACAATGCAAGCTGCAACTCGATACTCATAGAACTAGCCCCTCATTGATCCTCCCGTTGGTGGGTCCACAGGGAAATGGCTGCTTTAGTGAGCAACGACACGACCTTGGTCTTTCAGCGGTTGCTTCAGGCAGATTGGGCTCAAGTGTCTTGCCCAGGGACACAACAACAGGAGACATCTGTGGGAGTCTGTGACATATCTCATAGACCAATGATCTCCCCACCGAGCCACTGCCGCCCCCAAAATGTATTTTTCGATACCAAAAAGAAGTTGGGTTCTCCAGCTTCAAATGTGTTTCCTTTTCATATGAATATTATACATAGCTGCATCAATAATGGCAATATCAATTCTAATATTAAAACTTTATTTGAGTCAGTGATTGCGTGCGAAAGTGGACACTTGGAGTTCTTCTGGTGTTCGGCTTCATGCATTAGTGGTTCTTCGATACAATGCGGTTCCTCTTTGTAGAGTGGAAGTGCAAACATGATACGACATGTGCTACAAGAGTGGGATTGAGGTGGGCCGTCTGAACAGCTGCTGACCAACAGTCCCGTGTCGTTACAAATTGAGTTTCCTTGTCACAATTTGGCAAACTTCAGATAGAGTTTCTGGGTCAGTTTTATGAAGGAGAAAAACATCAAAATCATGCTATTAAATCCTTACGATATGTTCTTACACGGCAAAGGTGCTGGTACATTTGTCTTGCTGCTGATTAAAATTTAAACATAATTGGAAAACATTTTGTATTGGAAACCTTAAGAAGAGTAGTGGTGGTAAGTTGATCGCAGCTGCTTCAGTTTTCGTCCTATATACTGGGTCTTGTCTGTCCTTGGGAGTGGATCCCTCTCTGATTGTGGGGCTCCCCGAGGTTTCTCACATTTTCCCACTGGGTTTGTGAGTGGGTCCTTGCAGAGGCAGGAGCATCTAAGGATATTGATGATCCGGGACAATTAGGACATTAACTAACATTTACGGACCTCTCAATGGACCAATGGCTCTTTTGTGTTTGTTATTATTGCAATTCCTGTCTGTGTTTCTCTAATCTGTTGTTGAGGAATCAACAACTTTGTGAAGTCCTCCGAGACGGCTGACAACACAAAGTACTGAACAAAACAAGGCATAACAATAATAAATAATCACTGTACATTGAACAGAGTGAAGCTAAATTTTGTCTCACATTGTCAGGACAATTGTCCAGATTTAAGCTACGGAAATGTGAAACGTGAGTCATAAACTCTTACTATAGTTAAGGCAGTTTTCACAGATGCCTTAAAAACTGCAGATGCGTATCTTGTATCCCTCATATAGTGAATAACATGTCCTTTTCCCGTATGCGTCAACTACTATGCCTTCACACAACAACTGCCCCCTGGACGGATGCTACATTATAGATGGCGTCTTGAAGCAAGCCCCTTATTCTAACTCTTGCGTTTGTCAAGATGTCTTACCGATGACACGCATGGTCACTTAGAGCCAGCTGCTTTCAGACCACGCCACCCTTCTCGGCGAAGTGGACCTGCTCAGCTTTAGTGCGGACTCCATGGAAGCTTTCTCCAGTTACCTCGCCGTGGTGAACGAGGTTAACCACAAGCAGCACTTTCTCATGTGTGGCTCTGCTTAATTGCTGTAGGCGACGATGGAACCGTCGTCGGTAAATCTGGAGCACTTATTAGACGCAATTCCGCGGTTTAGGAAGGGACAGATGCTAAGTAATATGTGACATCATCGAGAAATAAACACCCGCTCATGTTAAAAGCACTTACTGTATGTTCCATGCGGCAACTGGAGTGGATTTATCCGAAGACAGCCTGGGATGGAGATGTACAGTAGATCTTAGTGAACTAATACGATGCATATTTTGCCCACATTCTGGCCCTAAACCTAATGAATCATGTCTTAAAACTGGCATTGACACATGTTGTTTTTCCCAACAGAAAGAGTCAATAAAAGTCAGTAAAAGTTAAATGTTGTGATCATCTGAGAGCTGATGAGGTTGGTCATCTCTTTTTCACTTAAAGATGTGACCAAAAACACATTCAGATGAAAAATTAAATGGTCAAATTATCTATAAAGCACATTTCTACGTTTCCAAGGCCCTTAATGGAACCTATCACCCATTCACCCACACACAATTGATCCCAGACACTCGGGACAAGGCGGGTTAAGTGTCTTGCCCAACGACACATGGCAGCATTTACCTATGGGAGCTGCCGATGGGTTAATGGTCAATTTTTTTTTTTGTTTTTTTATGGTTCAAAAAGGTTAATTTTATCTTACGTTTTTGAAAGACATGTTAGATGTATTTACATGTTTCAGCAGATGATGAAGCAGTCGAAAACACGTTAACAAGGAAAAGACTCAAAATTCAAGAATTTATTTGCCATTTGCAATAAAACCACATTGGAAAAACTGTGCAAGACTACCCCAGTGTGCACCAGACAGAACAGATGGTACACACCAGAGCTCTTGCTACAAAAATAGATCAAACTTGTCTTTCAAAAGAAACAGAAACATGTGTCTGTTTTTTATTAGAGCAAGGGACCATTTTATTTTGTACAACATTTTTAGAGGTCTGATCTAAAAATAAAAAAAAACTTTAGTACTTTTTTTCTACAGCATTTCAATTAAATGACATCATTGTGGTTCAATCCCTTCTGAACTACAACCAAAAATACTACACATCTGCCAAACCCATCTCAGTCATGTGAACCTTTGCCGCTATTTCAACCACACACAAAGCATCCGTTAAGAACATTACAAATGTCACACATCCATCGCAACCCACACCAAAGCCTTCACACTCAAATGACGGACCACACAACAATTGAAACTCATCCCTCAAGGCTCCATCCAACACTTTCCACTCTGGGCTCGCTTTCAATTACCTCCTTTCATTCCTTATCGTCAAAGATCATTGTTGTCCACATCACGAGCTGCAAAACCGTACACATGTACATGTATGAAAAGGTCAGTGTCAAATAAAAAAAAAGAAGAAATGGGGCCCATTCCAAGCTGCTTTGCAAATGACCACTCCATTAAAAATGATAAGGATATCGCTTTTCATTCACAAAAGACGTTTGCATGGATTCACAAAGGCGCAGTAAGCGATCTCATTTGCCTCCCGAGTTGCCGAGGCGTTGGACAGTAAAAAAAAAAATTGCCATTTGATAATTTAGCAGCAATAGATATGACTGTACGTCTTTGGAAGCAGCTGTCGCATAAAATGGCGGAGGACAGGGGAGCTTTCAGCGCGCTGCAGCTGTGAATTTGACGAGTGTAACGCGACACGACGGTTTTGGCCGCGGCTAAGGCCT